GAGGAGGAGAAGAAGAAGGAGAAGAAGAAGAAGAAGAAGAAGAAGAAGAAGAAGAAGAAGAAGAAGAAGAAGAAGAAGAAGAAGAAGAAGAACAACAACAACAACAACAACAACAACAACAACAACAACAATAATAATAATAACAACAACAACAACAACAACAAAAACAACAACAACAACAGCAGGAGCAGTAGCAGCAGCAGAAGCAGCAGCAACAGCAGCAGCAACAACAACAACACTCTTAAAGATGTTCATCAGATTCTTAGCAACTATTTCACCCTTCCCCCTTTCCCCGACCCTTCTATCCACCTACAGACACCACCGAACACCAACAGTAAAAACAAACAAATAGATAAAAAAAACAATGTTTTAAATACCCAGGGGAAACAATAGAAACAGAAGACAAAATAGCCTACCAGGTGTGACCGTGGTTGTTGCTGGCGCCTCCGTGACACTCTGCTCATAGCACACTTTAAACCATCCAGCGCAAGTAACTGTTTCCAAGGTATTACCGTTGATGACATAATCTTTGTCTTCTCTGCAGGACGGTCCGTGGGGATCGTAACTTCTGTAGTCAGCTGGGACGTACTGAACACTTACGATTTTTCCGCCGAATGACTCCTTGCCATATTTGTCCAAGTTAACCTTTTTGCACTGTTTTTCTGTTGAGATAAACATTTATATCAAATGCACTCCTCTGATGTAGTGCTTAAAATTAAAGTTGAATACTACTTTTCTGTTTTTCAACTTCTCTGGTCAAAAGCAAAAACAAATTTAAAAAATAATAAAGAGAACCTCATCTAGCCAGCCAGTTGTACCCTACCCCGACCAGCAATTGGCCGCCAATCAAACTTTCCCTTGGAATTCTGGTCGCTGCTCTTAGGAAACGAATGAAGCTGTCACGGTAGCTGTTTTGATACCTGGCTGGAATACAGTACGGGTTATTGTGGTACGCATAAATGAAACTCAGAAAACTTGTTCTTTTTGGGGATCCACAAGACTCTCTCCACTTGGACTCAATTCTATCAGAGAAAGACACAAAATATGAAGGAATTCCCAGTGTCCAAATAAACCCGATTAGCATGAAAAGGTTGTGGCCAGAGCGTATTATATCAAACAGATATCTGGCCTGTTTTATCGGATTTTACTTTTGCTATAAAATCTACCAAGGCTTTCCGCATAAAAATTAGCACGAGACCATATAAATACATGCGACACAAAACAGCAGTCTGGTTTCCAGCTGGGCGCCATTTTCTTCAGATACACCCAGTCGTGACCTAGAAAATGAAACAATGGAAGCTTGTGCTCCTCCATGAAGAAAAATCTGGCTACCCTGAAATAGGGACTCAACAAAAATGCAGTGGCCACTGTGTAGTTGTGTTGAAAAGGCCTGTAATTATTGCTATTGTAGATATTTTACACCCCTGTCGACAGATCAGTAAGGAGGAGGGTTCCTTGACTCTGCCTGTCAAGGTCAACTTCTCGGCAGACAGGCGGATTACTTCTTTTTTTTTAAAGTCTCTCTACAGGGGAATGGAACTCGCACCCTCTGCCTTAGAGGGCAAAGCTCCCAGCGGCTTCACCACAGATGCTTCAAGCCTCATACCATACCATACGAAACGCAACATGTAGGTGTGCAGTTTTTTTTCCTGACCAACGCCAAACTCATTCCACTATGGACAGTAACACCACTTACCTGGGGCTAGCGTGGTTGCTGGGGCGGTGGTCGGCTGCGGTTCCTGATAGCACACCTTGAAGGTAGATTTGCAGGTTGGCACCAGCGTGAAAGCGTTTCCGCTGTAGAAATAATCCACATCCTTGTAGCAGCTGTTATAATCATAACCGTGACCGTATCCGCCCTTTGGGTTGGCTTTGAGGATCTCAACACTTGTGATTTCCCCAGCAAATGTTGTGGAGCTCGACACTCTTTTGCATTTTTCTGTAATGGAAATAAGACACACACGTGATTTGTTAACTAAACTTGACATACTACCGGAATACAATTCCAGTGAAAACGGCCGCCAAAGTTTGATAACTTCAATAGCTTGAGAGCTTTTAAAATTGAAAAATCACATACTTTGTGCATGTAATGAATGTTTTTCAGTAAAATTCACATGGAAATGTGTTATTTATATGGACGTCAAAGGTGTTTCGCGGGAAAACAAAAATTCAATAAAAGTCCCAAACTTGCGTAAAAACGCCAGTTTTTTTCACTTTCATTATTTTGACGAGCGCCTGATTTCGCCACGCCGCCTCACACATTCAAGCAAAATATTGCATCCACTCTTTCTTACTAATAAAAGGAAAAAATTGAGACTCGTGTCAATGACGAAAGCGCCTTTAAAATTACAAATAAAACAAATTACACTACAGTGGAATTCTGATAAATTCAGCACCCCGGACAGAAACAAAGTGGTGACTTGAGCAAGGTTGACTTTATCCATTGTACTACTGGCCATTGAAAATAGCAGATGACAGCTACAAAATTACACAGTAGGCCTACCTGGTAATAAACAAGATTTAATCTCAATTTCAGGGAGTATAATTCTGAAGTTGTCACCAAAACAAGAGATTTAAACGAAGGAACAAAGTAATTGGAGGTGTGTTCACCACTAGCTCAAGCGAAATATCTCTTCTTAAATGAATTCATTTTGAGAATTAGCCCCAAACTGTTGACCATACGCAAGCTTAACACTCAGGCGGTTGACTGTATAAAAAAAACACACAATTAGATCTACTTAAAATTACTCAAACAAAGAAGGTAAAAAACGGGACCACAGAGAGGAGTTGACTGTAGGCAAGTTGACTTTATCAGGATTCCACTGTATCTGTTATTACTGATCATTATCCTGAAAACAAAAAGGGAAATTAGTTATCACCAACAAAGGCAGTGTTCATCATTATGTCAAAATATTTTTTCACCTCACAAAAGTGTAATATTACATTAGTTTAAGACCCCCCCCCCCTTTCTTACACTTTTATTAGAGGAAACAAAGACCCCCTCCCCCCTTCCAGGCGTAAGATTATATTATTTGAACGGCCCCCAACAGTAATCAACAACATGATGACGAAACAAGGCAGTCCTACCCCGCTTCTCTCACCAAGCGCGCAGTCCTTTGAAAAAGAGGGGTGGGGTGGCCGATCGTGTCAGGCACAACCCTTCCTCTCGCCCACTCCACACAATTATAGAGCTGTGCCCTTTCGACTTTACTATTCGACATTCATGATTTGTGCACTATCCATGGCTATTCGAAGCGTGGCAGAGCAATGTGATTTTTTTAAAACAGATAATGGATTTTCGTCTCCTTTTTCTCAACAAACGTAGAAAAATTGGAGCACATTATATCTAAAATCATTAAGATAAATATACAGAAATACTCTTTATTTGAGTGATATGAGGAGCCTACAAGAGTTAAAAAACAATCCTTTAGAGAATATCTCTTACTATTCAATATTCATTCGTCACACTATGGATAGCTCAAGCAAGGGCACTCGACTCTAGAACGTTAACTGATACAATGAGCTCCCCAAACCCTACATAAAATTCGAAGCGCTATGAACGGTGACGTGATGTCAACACGTTGCACTGTCTGCGCGCATGCGACAACAACACACGCGCGCTTGGTGACTAGCGTTGAACAGCTCAAATAAGAACAAACAATTCGACGGCGCTGTAAATAGCGGAAGTTAGGTCTGGGCTTATCACATAAGAAAATACAATTCGACGGTGCTTCGAACAGCGGAAGTTAGGTCTGGGCTTATCACATAATATAAGAAAAAAACCATTCGATGGCGTTGCGAATAGCTAGCGAATGTAGAATAAAGGTACTTAGGTCTGGGTTTATGCTTATCATAATAATGTATAAGAAAAAAAAAATTGACAAATGTATTCGAATGCCATGAATAATGAGCTCACGCATCGAAGCTTCGATGATTTTTTGTTTCCTCAAAATCGCACAGCACTACCACACAAACCTGGCTAGGCCTAAGACCTAGGCACGCGTGTTAAGCAGTACGCTAAAAAAAGCACAGCTATCTGCTTCTTTGG